TCAGTTTGCATTAGAAGGCAGTCAGTCAGCAATAACCTTTCTGGAAAAAAAACACAAGTGTCTTGTGATGGCACTTTGATATGAAACATTAAGAATGTACGTATTCACTTAAAACCTCAACTTAAAAGTTTGTCATTGGGACTGCTGGTGGAGTCTCATAAGTGTACTGTGAGTGATCTTTCAGGGGACATCCATATCGGTTTTGCATCAAAACGAAAGCGATTCACACATGAGAACATGATTTTTCCAGCACTACAGTGAGACACACACACAGCTCTTACTTTGAAAGCAAGTTGAAAAATTGCTAATTAATTGCATATTTTAAAGTGTATTACAAACAGCTGATTTTCCAGGATGCGTTAAAATAGTCCGTAGAAGAAAAACTTAGCAATCCTTTAACCAAGCACTTCAAATAAGTGTGGTAAGTACGGCTGATATCGAAAGGGATTTTGAGGCAGAGTTCACAGATGGGAACGCTTACCTGGCTGAGGCCACTGGGACTCGTGCCATTTTCTCCCGTTCACTCTATTTTTACTTTTGGCTGGGAGCTGGTTGTCAGCGTAATGAATACAGCCCTCACAAACATGTGCGTAGATGATAAGCAAAGGGAACTAAAATAGAGTATTTTAGCGTTTAGTGGAATAAAATCAGACAGCGCTGTGCATCCTTGTTTCAGTGTAGACATCTGGGTAGACGTGTGCAGCTCTTGGGCTGTTTGGATGGGCAAAGTTCTCTGGGTGCCATTGGTAAGTTAATGTTGGTGTTGGTGCAGACGTCCAGACGAAGGTGAACCATTTTGGTTTACCACTTTCTCAAAAGGAGGGGAGAACTTTTTGTCTTTTCCAACTGATTTATGTAAAAGAAAGATTGAGTGGCATTCTCACTTGGTGCAAATAACCAGTTTGGTAATGACTTAGCCCCGGTACTTTTGAGTGAAAATTTGGTCAACCATTAAAATGCAATTGTGCTTAAGGTATAACTCTGGAGTTTCTGTGAGTCACTATCATGAGTAGGAGGGCAGTGCTGACTGGTTCAATGTGGGTTACTCTGTGTGTGTGTGTGTGTGTGTGTGTGTGTGTGCGTGCTGCATCACAGCTTTGCCGGGAGGAGGAAGGAGCAGGGGGACAAGGTAGGGCCTGCAGTGGCCCTTTGGGAAATCCCATGTTACTGGAATGTGGAACACTAAAAGTTATTGCTTGTAATAGGTATGGCAGTGTGCTTATCTGAAATCATCAAAGGCCGTAAGTGTGTTTATGTACACGAGGCATACCTGATGGGTTCTGTAGCCAGCTGTGTGTGCTCTGGATACGGCGGTGGAAGAAATTTCATGTCTGTGTGGGACTGCGACCGTTGAAACAATCATTACTGAAACCATACACCTTATTTCCTGTTACTAATAGCAGTCCTCTACCTATGGAATATATTAACAGTTATTCCCTTGGTTTTGGATTGTTGCTCAACTATTTGGTTGGACAGATACTTAAACGCGATCTGTAATTTATGTTGTCTGAATACGTCAATGAGCAGAGCTCATTATGGCTTCCTGATGCGAGCTGTGCTGATGTTTGTGAAACCACACTTCTGTCTGTCAGGCAGAGCAGAAGTACGTTCCTTAATAAATCATGGAAAATGACGAGCTTTCGCTACCTAGGCTGGTGAACAGAAATACTTGGTTGGTGTTTACCTAGAGCTTCAAACAAAGCAGTGGTTCAGTGGTTTCTGTGACTGCTTGAGCAGTTAATTCTTCCATGCCATTTAAATAAATATTTATTGCTCTTTACAGGATAGATTTTTTTTGTATTAAAAACTGTTGGGGTCAAACAGCAGCAGCCCATTTAGGGACCTGCAGTGCCTCCACCACGTGACTTTTGGCATTATTATCACAGAGTGGTAGGTTCCTATTCCAGCCAGTTTTTCCCCAACGTCTGCCCTGAATACTGAGCTCCATCCTGCTCATGATGCTTGCACAGAGGCATTTTTTGGACACGGCAGTGCTGTGCTTCTGGGGTCTGGGCTGAGCTGCTGGCTCAGAGCAGAGGAAGCCCTGTAATGGGGAAAGGAAAGCAGATATGTTTTTCTAATATTTGTTGTTTTCTTTGAAATGAGTAAAAGAATACCTGGAGTGATTTATGTTTAATTGAGGATCGCATTCCATCAGATACGGTGAACGTTCTCAGGCCATTTATCATCTGTGCCTTTTCGAGACCTCTGAGGAGTATATAGGAGATATTTACCTTAACTTGGCTAGGTCAAGGGAAATAAAGTAGAAATAATAGATGTTATTTTTGTATGTGAACAAAACTGGAAGTCGTGTGGATGAAATATGGGGTAAATGGCTGTGTCCTACCTCCTCTGTGACTTTTTAAATACCAGGAATTATTAGTTCTATATAATATAATTTCCTTTGCATTATCAGTGTATGTTTTTAAAGCACACGATTTAGTGGCTGGCATTTTTATTGTTCCAGATTAGTCAACTCCCGAAGTAAGCACGGTGTGTATTGTGTTGCCATGACTGTTCAGTAGTTTCATATTTAAGTAGCATCTTAAAAAACAGACAAACAAAAACCAGCCAACAAGGCCATCTACTGCACTTCACGTAACATTTCTACTAAATGTATGTGGCTGGTAGCGCACGTAGGTTGTGTGACACCAGAATCACACAAGTGCTGGTGAGTATTTTCGTGAGCAGTACCTACATTTTGGGGTGAGGAAGGGGTTTATAAGAGAGCCCTCGAGCTTTAGACCTGAGAAATTTGCTCATGGCTATTTTTCACTTGTGTGTTGCTGCTGGTGTGGGACATCCAGGTGCCACTCTGCCTCGTGTAGCCAAAGCTACCTCCATACTGGTATACTCCATGCAATCCTACTGTGCATCCAAGCTTGAACCGAAATTCTCACCACCAACAGCCAAAAGGAATTTGTTGTACGGCGAACTCTTTCGTAACGTTTGCAAAATACGTTTTAATTACCTTTTATTAAAGGTAAAAGGGTGAGTGCAATGTAACCTAAATGTTAGGGTCTGTAAGAAGGAGGGAAACCTGAGAGCTGAACGCATCTTTTCCTGTCCCAGGGAGGAACAAACAGTGAAAACTGCTGCGAAATAGAATCGAGAGCACATTGTTGATTCAGCTAAAACTAGCGATAAGGGCTGGTTTCAGAACCAGTCTGGGGGAGTGCAGCTTGATCAGATATTTCATGAACAAATTATTACTGATACCACTGATTGGCAAATTCAGCGCAACTCATTCTCACTCAGTGGCACTTTCAGACTTCTCTGTGCCCCCTTTTTGAATTTGCAAAACGCTTCCCTCTGATCCTTTGAGTTAAAGTTATGGCGACGTTTGATGACGAGCATAGCATGATTAATTACCAATGAATAGCGCATATTCCAACACAGCTTGTGTTTTTCTCGCAGTTATTACCCTGCAGGTTCCAAAAGGGCTTTGGAGTAGGGATTATGATTTCAGTTACATCATTGTGAATTCAGAAAACGCCAGTGATTTCAAAAGTGTGATTCTGAAATTAGGTCAGTGGAAAAGAGATCAGAATCTGCCTTGCTACCTGCAAAGTAGCAAACTCCAAAAGAGAGAGAATTCACTGCTTCCAGACAACAGTTTTGGTGTTTTTTTTTTTTTTCTTTTGAAAGAAATGTTTGTTTAAAAAAAATAATTTTACTTGAAACAGTGTAGGAAAGTGAGTAATAGAACAAATTATAACCTGAATCCAGGCTGGATTGTGACAGGAAAGAGCACAGAATGAATGCTTTCCTTCTTAACTATTTGATCTGTATTGACCCAGAAGTTTGACATCTCTGTTGCACAGTGATGGGCCAATGACTCAAAACTACTATCTAGAGATTTCTTATATTTTGTCCTCTAATTATGTTTCTTCAGTATTCGGATTTCTGTTGCTGGCTAGTTGATCTTTTGACGACTGCAGTGCACTTTAATTTTTTTTTCCATTTGTTTTCTGAGATCTGATAACAGAATACTTCCTGCTCTCAGAGATTGGACTTTTCCAACCTGACACCACTAGAAATGGCAGGGACACAGAACAGACGTGGTGTCCTGCAGTAGGCAGCATCAACCATGGAGCCCAGGCACCGAGTCAGCAGGGAGTGAACACCGTGGTCCTCCCTGGTGAGAAGGAATTGATTGGACAGGTTTCATGGATGGTGAATGATCTTCAGAGTTTGGTTTGCGACCTTTTTTATTTGGCGGTGTTGGTCAAAGCATCTACAAAGCAGCTTTTTGGTACCCCGAGTCTGTGACTCATGAAACCTGAGCAACAGTCATCTTTCCCTTCACTTTGGGCAATGCGTTTTGCTTCCTGTTTGTCAGCAGCCCCGTGCTTGCATGTGACAGCTTCCTTAAGTCTGCAGAGCTGTTCTCTTCCAGTGTTGGAGCACTGAAGAACAGCAGCATGGTTTGCATCTCCTCTGGGTTTGAGGTGCACTGCTCCAGGGATGAGAGAGTCCTGAGGTCCTTGGGTTGCTCTCAGACGTTCCTCTGAGCTCAGGTAGCCAAAGCACTTGCTAATAATGGCAGAAATGTATTTGAGTTGTTCTTCAGTTTTATCTACCTCCAGTGAAAGAAATAAAGCTATATAAAAACAAATAAAGGCATTTTATGAGCATACCCCAAACCTGTTGAGGAATGATGCATTTACAAGTCCACAAAGTGAAGCTACCTTTAAATACCCTGATTGAAAACAGAGCAAAAAATACAGTATTTGTAAGTCCTGCATATTTTAGTTCCCTTAACATTTCAAGTTATACGTTAAGAGTTGAAGCAAATAGGTGTGATAGTTTTGCCACTAATTTGTAATTGTTCTGAAGTAAATCCATTAACTTAATATGAGGGGATTCATTTCAGGTAAAGAATGCAGATGCTGGTAGACCTTGTAGTAGTTTCTGCTTTTTTCAACATCCTTTAACAACCAACCAACCCAAATACTGTGCATTTCTAAAGTAAATTATTTCTCTTTTGTCCTTTTCAGATTTCAGACAGAGCTGAAGCAGTGGGAAAATGAGTGTTCTTCTCATTGAGGCTTTTTATGGCGGTTCCCACAAACAGCTGATGGATCTTCTTCAAGAAGAGCTGAAAGAAGAATGTGTCATCTGTACACTCCCTGCCAAGAAGTGGCATTGGAAAGCACGGACTGCTGCTCTTTACTTCATGCAAACAGTGCCAGCAAGTGCTGATTACAGGTAACCCAGGAGCTGGGTAAACTCAAATGGCAGGGAGGCCTTAAGCTGCAGTTTCAGTTGTCTGTATGCAAATGTGGATTCACAGGCAAATAGGGACTAGCAGTGGGCATTAAGAAGTTTATCACGTTGCACTGACTTCTTTGGGTGTAAATATGGGAAATCACTACAGTGCTTTAGAATATCTTAAAATACTTCAGCTTACATTGTTTGTCCTTGAAAGTCTCTAAGAATGTACATATATACAGATGCCTACTTGTTTAAAGATGTGTATGTACATTTTATTTTAAATTTATTAAGTGAATTTAGAAGTAAGGGAAGATTTAAACTGTTTCACAGATGAGGTTGAAAGATTGCATGGTTGTGATCACTGCAAGCTTCTTCACCTTCACTTACCTTCCCAGTTACCTGTTAGCAAGTCTGATTTATCACTGCACTGCTCAGGCTGACCTAGAGGATTAAGGGTTCAGTTTCATCTTAATGATTGTCCAGTTCTGTAATGTGCCAGCACCTATGGATGTCTTTTATGCATATAGGTAAGAAGCGAAGCTCTGTCTGCTAGAACCTGGACTGATAAAAGCAGACTACTTAGGTCAACAGATAGCTATCTCGTAGTGAGAATCAGTCATTCCAGAACCAAGATATCTTTAGAGCAGCAATGTTGCTTGGCCTACCTGATCAGCAGAGATGTGGTGAGATGACTGGCAGGCAGTGAAGCAACATGTAGTTAATTGTATGAGTACCTGGCTCACCGTGTGCCTTCGTGGAGAGGGACTCCTCATGCCCGGGGATGTTATAGTACAAGCATCTGCTTTTCAGCCACGGGATGAACTTCAGCAGGACCCCAGGTGCACCTAGGTGATGTGCCAACTGGATATTCTTTAGAGCTGGGATTGGTATTTTTAACTCCAGATTGGAGCCAGGAGAGGTAATGGACGGGGGAAGGAGCACAATCTTTTCAAGAATAGATCTTGTGCTGTAGAAGGCTGTGTTTGAACAATGTATAATCTGCCTTGGAATGCCATATAAATGTACACCTTTTCTCTTCCAGCTTACATTTCAAATAAGCTGCCATCCCAAGCCAAATATTCTATTCTTCCCATTTGTCTTGTTCGAGGCATTTAGTGTTGGTTTCTTATTGCTTCCCTTTTGCAACAATTTTGTTTTGGAGGAGTATATATGACAAACTGTTATGTAAATTTGTCTTGTATCACAACCACATCCTCCAACGCATCGCAATGTTATCTGTGTTCCTTCAAGGTCAGCAGCCCAAGCTGTCCAGCACTAACTGTATTAAACTAATCAGACATCACTCATAGACATACACTTCATTAGTTTAACTTACAGTTACATTGACCCAAGATAACTTAACTCCAATTTGTCAAGTAACCCACATCTTGGGAAAGGGAGGGAAATGATGGGGGGGGAAAAAAAAACAAACAAACCAGCAACGAGAAAAAAACACCCAAAAAACAAAAAAAAAAGGAAAGAAAAAAGAAAAAACCCAACAACCCAGCAGCTTGAAAACTCACTTGAAGTTAATAAACTTGCAATCTGTCATAGACTTATGTGCAAATATAACCTTTACTGACAACAAATAAATCTGATCTAACCAATGGAGCATCTTAAGGAGAGGAAAGCTTTTTCTGTGCTGTTGCTGGTAGTGTTTGATCAGACAATCAAATAGTCAAAGTTCACGAAGATGCAGTGTTTAACATGGGTGTGCACCTTATCCACATGTGCAGGTTTTGGGCTGATACGACTGATGAGAGCAAAACTGGTTCAGAATTACCCTCTATGACTTTCCCTGCATATTTTTAATGTTTGTTTTGTAATTGAATGTTTCAAGTCCTTTTTAAATTGAAAGTATAAATGCATCAACCTAATGAAGCTGACTACATTCTCCTACTAGAAAAATCATTGATTAAAATTAACATTGTTTTATATCTAGCTTACTGGTAACCATTTAAGATCTGCTTCCCAGGCAGTAGCTGCTTGTGAAGATGAAGTTATCAAACTGGCAGGAGTGTATGTTTTGAACTGCACATTTAAATATTTAAACCTTCTTGTGAGGTAGTGGGAAATACCAAATCTACATTATTTACATTATTGACTTTATTTGTAGAACAAAAGATTTCTCTTCCAAGCGATGTTTTTAAAATGTGACATTTCATAAATACCTTGTTTCTGTTTGTGCATTTAATAATACAGAAAGGTCAGAGATATCTCAAGTGCAAACTGTTGGTAACTGAGCAGTGTTAGTGAATTTTTGTTTCTCCAGCTGTACTTAATTTCAGGACACCGTGTGAGCAATAATACTGATGCTGACAAGTCTGATAATATTGCTGTGTGTGTACGCAGCAGATGGCTGTATGTCTTCCTTTTAAAAGGTAGATAGTACTGTGTATATAAGGTAGTAGGGGAAGGAGGCAGGCTTGTTCTTTTTTGAGTGAACTTCAGCATGCTGTTCAGCCTTAAAAAGTGCTTTTGAAGCAGAACATGAGCTGAAGAGTAATAGATGTTCAATTGAGATACTCTGCAGTGACCAGTGAGTTTGTGATGAACTTGCAAATACTTGCTTATCGGAGAGCAGGCACGTACTCCCTGGAGCAAGGCTTGGGGCTGCATTGCCAAAAGCTTTCCTGAATTGCCATGCAGGTAATTCAGGTGATTTTCCATTTGTGGTACAACTGCAACTTTCCAGAGCATCCTCCTTGGCCTGGTCGGAAAAACATAGCAATCAACATGGCACACTGGGAAAAAAGCACATTTTTTTAGTAGAGGCTGTTCTCTGCAGAAAATGTAGTTCAAATGCAAGCTAGCAGTATGAGATTTAGATTGGCAAAGCAGAAAGGCTGAAGCGCGGCGTAGCTTCTAGTTTGGTTTAATAGCACTGCTGGATTATTTGCAAAAAAACCCTACATATATAAATATTATGTGTTACATTCAGTACTGCCCCCCAGGTAGCTGTTCATATGAATAAAGATTTTATTTGTAACAAACTCTTGCCCTGAAATACCCCTCGGGTAAATGTTAGTATATATATACCACTGATATTTGACAACTATATTTTAAAGACAAACTCTGTGCTTTTTGCGTTTTATGGAAGAGAAAAAGTAAATAAATCGTTGTTTCAATTAATAGAGCTCTGAGAAGGAATCTGAGGAGTGTGCTGAGGAGGTGCTGAGCAGGACATGTCATCTTCCAAGAGTTTACAGTGGATATGTGCGTGTTGGTTTGTTTTTGTAAATAACATTTTAAGACCATCACAATTAAGGGTTGTTCAGATCTTATGCTTTCATAAATTTCTGTAAGGAAAAAAACATGCATTATTAGAGTGACTTTTACTAATTGACTGGTATCGTTGGAAACGTTCTCTTAAAAATGGTGATCCTGTGAATTTTTGTTCCAGTGATTAATGCAGTGTATGAATGATTCCATGGTGTTTGCTAGATGCATTCTTCTCAGAAAAATACCTGTAAGCCGTATGTCCTGGGGAAAAAGTTTGGAGATTGCAACTGAAGCAAAGCAGGCAAATTTTAGGCATTTCATTTAAGGCTGAACACACAGATGCCCATTTGTGCTGGGAACACTTCTGTCTTGTGTCCTTGTGTCTTTATGTCAAATAGTGGCATCTTTGTGTAATCTGCGTGGGTAGAGGAATAATTTCCCTGTGTTAAAAATCTTCCCTGCTTTTGGTCCTAAATAATAATAAATAAATAAGTAGTGTTTATGAGTAGCATGTTAGTGAAACAAAATACAACCACAGACTTAGAAATTTAAAAAAAAAATTAAATACTTGATGCTTGTATTTACTTATTTTATGGTGGTTGCTTTCATATTGAGGTGAATATGTCATATCATCAGTTATTGATGTATATTTTCTTCTTGCTCAACTCCATCGTATCTGAAGATGGGACAGAGCTCAGAATACTGGTGTGAGCTGGTGTGGAGGTTACAAAGTGTGTGTGTGTATGTACTGCATATTTTTGCCAGCTATGTATAGAGTGTACCCCTAAGGTACAGGTTGGTGAGTTGTCTTTTGTATTTTATTCGAGTGGCACAAAGGGACAAAGAAATGAGTTAGTGGTTAATTGCAGCAGCCAGTATCCCCTAAGACAGGGTACCACGTTTGATTAACGTGGCTGTAACTGACTCTCTTTTGTAACCTCGTGGATGGATACCAATCACAGTGTACTTGCCTTGCTGTAGAGAAACCAAACCAGGAACCCTGGGCCTCCTTCATTTTAAGGGCAAATTGCCCTGACAGACGAGTGTAGGAGATGCTGCCTCGTCTCGAGCTCCTCGTTACCCTCCCTAGCTGCACAAAGGGTCATTGCTGCTTTCATTTCGCTGGTACTAAACTTCCTTTCTTAGAAAAATTATTTCTTAAAAACCCAACAAAATCAATTGAGTTCACAAAGGTTACTTAACACGGGCTTGTGCAAACACATCCCCATTCCTTCTGCCCACGCTTTGAACTAGCTGGTAGTGAGCTCGCTTCACACCAGAAGGCCATATGGCCGTACTGGCGCTGCGTTGAGCCTCGACTAATAAGCCCTACCGAGATACAAGACACAGGCACCGTGTACTGAGCTAAAACAACTTGGTGACTTCTGACCAAATCTGGCTCTTGTCCAGCCAGCTTGGAGTGTAAGCAAAGAGCATATACGTCCATATGGAACGGCATGAAGTTCTGCGGCGTATCGCAGATGATACCCTCTGCTTCTCTAGCCTCAGATAATGGAGGTTGTCCCGGCCTGAATAAAGGGTGTGAATTCCTTTCTGCTGAGGGGAGCTCGGAGGCCATCTGATGCTGAGCGTACGTAACGTGGGAACGTACGTGTAAAAGTGGGCTTTGTCTGCTCTGGCTTCGTGCCACCCGGATCTGTTTGGAAAACTTGGGATGTTACCTAAAGGCTAAACTTCTTTAGGATGGTGTAAAATCTGTGTTCGAGCATGATTTTTGTTAGAACACTTATGTGAATCTGTGCGTCGTTAAA